AAATCAGGGGAGCAATAAATCTACTGCATTATTATTTATAGATGTGTTTGTGACGAGTACAGCATTACAAGGCAACAAGCCAGTATTTAAGGGTTGAAAGATTTATCCAACCTTAAACATATCAGTCTGCGCAGGCCTGGAGTCTGTAATCATTATCGCAGTTTAATCTGTCTTTGCAAAACAAAACTAAAAAATAGGCTGTGTCTCTGTGATTAATCATTTGTACTTAAAGCCAAATTGAACTAGTAAAAGGTCCAAAAAAGCAGCACCAAGAACATGGTACTGGAAGACGATGGAATTTGTTTAGAATACCATGTTCTGAAAGTGTCATGCAACCTTCTGTTAAATACTTCGTTCATTCCATTTTGCCACCTCAGTTGGTATTCTGGAAGCCCTTAGAAGCTACATAACATATGTTGGTGAGCAAAGAACCCCAGGTCAGTTGCAGAGTAGTTCCCTGTGAACCCCCCAAAATATTGTCACTTGAAAATTCCCAAAAGAACTGTTGACTTCTAAGGCTCAACTTTCTGCACAAAAGATACCAGTTGGCATGACAGGGTGACCCATAAACATTACCCAGTGCAACAGTGCGTAAGTCTTGCCCATATGTGCAGAACATATAGTAGCCATTGGATGACAGTATGCTCTGAATGAAAGGTGCCATTCCACGGAGTCATCAAAATGAAGTGAACTGGCAGTCATCCCCATAGTATTTTGTGTTCATCTTAGGAATACTGCCAGGTACATAAATGTAGCCAGGGAGAACACACATCTTTAAGAAAATGAAGAAAGTTTAAGGGGAAAAAAAAAAAGACAGTGAGAGAGTGAGGGACCAGTAAGGGGAGAGAGTGGGTGGGAGGGGAGAAGAGGCAAGAGGAGGGTGACTACGAGAGAAGAAAAGCCAACCAGGCTAATTAAACAATTACAAACACCCCCTTCCCATCCCCCACAAGCTGCTTTAACTTTGATGACCAGTACTTATTTGCAGATGTACATAGTTTTCCCTGACCTTGGCAGCATCAAAGAATTTATACAGTTAGCAGTTCTTGCACAATCTCTCAAAAAGAACAGCATGCGTGTTCTATCCTTCAATGCCAGGCAGGCCTTGTTACTCCTATCCGCCAATTTTTCTTGCAGTAAATCAACTTACTTGGTTAGGTTCTGGTGCTAAAATAAACTACTAGTTCCCTTACACTCTTTCTCTGCTTACACCTCCTTTTCAGACAACAGACCTTTTTCTTAAATAAAGTAGGAGGAAAGAACTCAACTCTTTGAGTTGTCATCAAAGACAACTTTGGTGTCTTAATTATATTAATAATGATTCCAAGATAACCATAGCCTATATATTAAATACCTTTATACAGATGGCAAACACAAGGCCCGCAGGCTGAATCCAGCCCTCCACCTTGTTTTATCCAGCCCGACACACCGAGGGACTGATGTACCCCCGGTGAAAATGAGTTTGACACCCCTGTTTCAGTACACAACTTAATAGAACAGTAGTCTTCATTAATTCCACCTAGGGTGCCTCAGTGCTACATTTAACACTTTCTGCCCCTTACTAACTTAAACTTAAAATGTGTATTTATAAAACAAAGTCCTAATAAACTGAAAATCCATTTCTAAAGGGGTCTCATGTAAAACCGGCTGCTCTGCGTGCACCCGACTTTACCCAGATTCACAGCAGAGGGTGTTGCACGGGCCCACATGAGCAGCCAGCAGCCAGCAGCCTCAGCTGGACTTCAGAACCAGCCAGCGTGGTGCTGCAGGTGATTCACGCTTGAGTTCACCTCCAAGTGGGAAAAAAAAAAAAAGAATTTCAGGATTCAAAAAAGTATGTGTTTGACTTCTGTGGGAGGAAGGAAAAAATAAAGCTGTTTCCAATTCTTCAGATTTCCAATCAGAGTGACACGGGATGCTGGGATGGCGACCCGAACAGGGCAGATGAGCAACTTCCCATGAAAGAATGGAATGATGCTGGGTTGTTTTGCTTTGCGCTTTGGGGCTTTTTTTATTTGTTTTCTTTTTTGTTTAGTTTGAAATCATGACACCTAGGGAAAATGTACAATGTTAAAGACATTCCTATTAGTAAGAAAGTGAAAAGAAGACTTACTTTGGATGCATTCACCCTAGAAACGCTGGTGGGAATCTCTGAGCAAGTCTTCCTTAGCTGGGTGGTTTGGATGGAACATGGAGGGAAAACAGCACAGACACACCTCGAGGTGTTGTTTTCTTGTACTTTGCTCTACTGCGCCTCCCAGATGTGTCTCTTACATATTGAAGACAAGACCCTCCACCAGCAAAAAGATGACAACTGACTTTACTGCAGTGGTTTGGAACTGAACCCCAATATATTCAAAGCGCACCTGTATGCTAACACAAACCACCAGTTTAATAAAACATCTACTTATGATTTAAAAAACACTCAAAAGAGGTTCTTTCAAATTCTTTAATCTAACATATCCTTAGTTATTATCTACTGTGCATTTCTGCAGTCTGATAAAACCATAATCTATTAAATATTTAGCTATATCATGATAGCTTTTGCCTATTTTAAAGTGGTAGCAAAACATGAATGCCACTTTAACAGAACAGAAGCTCAATTACCAAGGTAAAATCCAGTGTTTAACTCAGCCAGAGATGACACACTGGTTTTCTTCTGTGATAGAAGCAAGATGGCACTTCAGGGACCTGATGCCTGTTACCCTTACCCCAAATCCCTGTCATGATCAGCACCTTCCTCTACTGAGATTCAGATATGGGCCTTTAGGATAGATTTTTTCTTGTCTTCTTATGTGCTCACACATGTTTTTGCAATATACATTAAGTAGTTTAACAGCTCTCTTCATCATCTATAACCGTGTTTCAAGCACAGAATCTCACTCATATACATCACCAAGAATGCAGTGTCAAAGGAAGCAATTATGAGGACAAATGTATTCCGGTTCACTTACACACAGCATGGCAAACTCTCTAGCCTTTCTGATCAAGTTCTCAAAACTCCATGAAAGGGGCCCTGACCAGTGTGGCTCAGTTGGTTTGGTGTTGTCTGGTAAAGCAAAAGGTCACCAGTTCCATTACTGACAGCCACTAATCGATGTTTCCCTCCCTTTCTCCCTCACTTCCTCTCTCTCTAAAAACAAATAAATAAAATCTTTTTAAAAAACCTCCATGAAAGGGGAATTTATAGTCAAAGAGACAATCTGGCAACTGCCTTTAAATGACATTTTTATAGAGCTAAAATGAGCGATAATGGACCCTATACTGTTACTTCCTATTCAGAATATCTTGCTCACTTGAAACATATCAGTTTTTCTTTCCATACAATTTTGACAAGCTGCTTGTCGTTCTGTGTGGCTTTGCTGCAGCCATTATGCATCGTCCTAAGAGGCTTATTCATTTCTGCTTCAGGTCCTCTGATGTTTAGCCCTGAGACGATGACTCAGAGTTGTGTATTCTAGCTCTGCAGGTTCAATCTCTTTGTACCAGGGGCAGAATAAATATGGATGCTTGAAATGGAAAAGGGCTTAGATAGCTTTCCTTTAACAGACTCACCTAAGCTAAGTCACCATCTCCTACGGCCCTACCTTTGTCCTCAGGACCGGAACACCGGAACTCAGCCCACAATGACACCAGGCCAGTGCACACCTTCAGCTCCCTTCCACCCTTCTCAGCTCCATTAGAGCATCCCTCCAGGCCCGGGCCTCACTTGGCTTCAACTTCCTTTTTCTTTCTAAATGTTTTGTAGCAAGAAAAATCTCTGCTCTGTCTTAACCAACTGTTTTTTTAAACACTGAAACAATTCCCAGTTGGCACGGATCACAACCAAGCTTTGCCAGTTGCCCATAAATCGTTCAGGCATACCTTTTGGTGCACCTCACATTGCAAGCAGGGAACTGGGGGCTGAAGAGGGATCATCCTCTGTCTGTGCCTGGACAGTGGAAGGAAGCAGCCAGCAGCTAAGCAGAAAAGCCTTACAGATCCAGCAGGTGAACATGTTTAAGCTTAATGGCTGTTAACTAACTGGGAGAGAAACATGGAAAGGGGTGCAGGGAGCATGGGGTGGGGGGAGTGGCTTTGTTCCCAAAATAGATAGAGCATCTTTTTCAGTTGACAAGCACTGTTTGGGGAGTGAGCTATCACTGACAAGAGATTATTGATGGGCGCACCAAACAGAAACTAGTGCTCAGTCAGGCAGGAAAGCAGATTCTCTCTAGAACTCTCCACCCCAATATTGTCTCCACTGACGAGTGTTAAATAAAGAGATATGCTCAACTACACCTGACGTGAGACTGTAGTCTCCACATGCAACCTATTAACCTCAGAGATCTGGCTGCCAGTGTTCCTCCGCTGGTAATTAAAGTCCTTTCTGTTAATATATATAATATGAGTGTTTATAAATTAGGCATCTTGACACTCCCCATTCAGGGGACAGTTCCCAACTGCTAAGCAGGAATACACCACATGCTTCATTGAAAGAAATGCTACATCTCCGAAGGCAGTTTACATCACGTCACAATGGTATCTCACGTTCTACCCAACCCAACCCTTGACCATCAAAACCATGAACAAGTGTCTTTTTTACAAGCCAAATGTCAGGGGAAATTTGGAAATGGTGGAGGAAAGACAACTCAAGCTAGAGAATACCAGTATCCCAACCTCACAGGCGGTGATATGAATGCCCACTGATTGCCCATCCCTGAAAAAACCTCCCAAACCCTGTAATCATTTCTGTTAGAGTTCACTCATTCTGTCATGAAAAAATCCTTTGCAAGGAATTCTACACTTGTATTTGCCCAAATTTCAGGAAAGAATGTAATTATTGCTGTCTCATTTAAAATTTAAACATGTTAATTATGACATTAAACAGCACACTTCAACTCAAAGTAAATACAATAATACGATACAAATCTTAAGAATGATGGTATAAAAGCACCCTTAAAGAAAATGCAATTCACCTAAATATACTTCTCCAAAGCAGAATTTAAGAGCCTCCTTACCTGACGAACAAAACTATTTGAGGTAGTGTCAGAGGACGTGCTTCCATCAGATCCTTTGAATCTGTTTTTCCTTCTAGCTCCTTTTCCATATGACTAAAAAAAAAAAGGAGGGAAATGAGATTATTGTTAGACCCTCTCATAGGAATCCAGGCTGAGTTCTAGAAAATGTCAAAGACCAAAACAAGGAATGAATTGCTATCATGTGAGCATTATTAAGTTATTATTGGAGAAATCACAAACCCCTAATGTAGAGAGAAGAAAAAATTTCTAGACAAAGCATTTAATAACCAGCGAATTAAAATGATTCATGTTTTTATCATATCTGTTGTCAAGAGGCAAAAGCCAATAAAGATAAAGATTTAAAAAGTAAGTATTTAAGTGCAGCAGGGCCTGGGCAGCAGCAGTGAGGTGAGAGGAAAGGCAACTTGTCAAAACTCTCATATATAGCATGAAAGCAACAGATTTATGCATAATGAAATGTTGCCCAGTGGTGCTGAGCACCCATTTCGTGCTTCTTTTCGGGTTTAATTTGTAATTCCACAGGAGCTCATTTATTGGAATGGTACTTGCAAAAATTGCATATGGTGGCTGAAGAACATTATGCAATATGAATTCTGACTGCCTTTAAATTCATATCCTCATACATAGGTCTAGTCAGAACATGAATGAAGCATGGTGCTAGTTCTTCATACTTCCGTATGGATGTGGACATTGCTTTGAGAGATGCTGAAATAACTATGTAAGTGGTGGCGAATCATATGAAATTCAAATACTTTGTAAAATGTTCTGGCCCATGGTTACAATGTTTAAATGTGACGTGAAAATCTTGCTCTTTAATAACTTCATGATTTTCCTGAGAAGGCAAGAAAAATAAATTTTGTGAAATAATAATATTGAAAAAATTAGCCTTTAAGAACAGGAAATTAAAGGTAAGACAATTTGTTTCAATAACAGAATTGGGCCAAACACAGACATATTGGGTTGACAAAAAAAGTCTGTATGGTTTTTTTCTGTAAAATAAAAGACACGTTTCTCATTTTCACCAATAACTTTATTGATTTGGATATTTTGAGTATGTCAGCTATCTCCCACATGGTATAAGTTTAATTGTTCTCAATTAATGTCTTGATTTGATCACTATCAACTTCAAGTGGTCTACCCAACTGTGGAGCATTGTCCAGTGAGAAATCTTCAGCACAAAACTTCACAAACCACTTTTGACACATTCGATCAGTCACAGCATCTTCTCCATACACTGCACAGATATTTTTATTGCATTTTAGTTGTGTTTTTACCTTTCTTGAAATAACAAAGCATAACATGCCAAAATGTTGCATATTTTCTTCCATCTTCAATATTAAAATGGCTACAAAAATTCACCAATTTTGATATTTTTTAATGCACACTGATATGACAGCTGTCACAGTACAATCTAACAAATTGTTTTCTATGATGTTAAAGAAAATTAAGCACAACTACAGCCATCTTATGGAAAAAAAACAAATAAACTTTTTGGCCAACCCAATGTACAAATGAACTTGCTGTTACTCCTGTATTTACAGTTTACACTGAGAGCACCAAGAATAAACTAAAGTTACTGTGAATACTGAATATTAAAATATTGATGAAAAATAGCTCATCACAAATATTTAACATTAAAATATAAGTGAAAGATAGCCCACCATTGAGCTTTACAGTTAAATACACATAGGCTGGGATCCTGCTATGGCTGACCTTGAACACATTCTCTAATCTGCTCAAGAATCAGTCTTCTCATCCCTAAATGGAGATAGTAACACTTACCTCTCAGTTATTTTAAGTGTTAAATGAAATAACATACTTGATAGCATTTAGGACCTGCCACATGGTAAGGACTCAAGACAATATATGAAAAAAACGATACCCACATTAGGGCTGGTAGGGTGGGGGAAAACTGGGCTGAAGTGTAACATGTTAAGAATAATTAGGTTCACAGAGGTTTCATTAGATTATCAGAATGTGCAAAATTTATGTTTTCAAAATCACCATATTCAGGTTTTAAAAATGCTGCTCTGTCTTATTTTATATATTCATATGGTTTTCATTAAAACAGAAATATAAACCATAATACACGTAGCACTTAGGCAAGCTGAAACCCATTACAGTACAAACATTTGTGTTATGAGTAAGTAAGATGCATTTGCAATCAGCAAGAGGGTGGGATAATCTTAAAGCAAAAGATTTTCTTAAATGTATTTGTTCTTTTCCAAGTATCTAAGGGATTTATATAATACAAATGTGTTTCCATGGCATTTAATTACCTCTCAACTTCATAAAAGGAAAGATCATCTGGGCTGGGCTTTCATAATGTATTATACAAGGTTCTCCTCACTTAACAGCTTATTCTTCTTACTTGTGTAAACATTTTTCAGTAAACTGTTGAAAAATAACATTCTTTCAACAATGTTCTTCCTTTTCCAATTATTATGTAAAAGTTTGGACAGAAGTTTCTTCCAAGTCCTAATGATGTTAAAATAAAGTATGAAAATTACCTTAAAATTAAAAAATATACATTATTCTATATGCAAAGATACTTATGACCCAAAAAATGTTTTTGGGGGGATATATGTAAAATATACTCATTTTCTGCATGAGGAGCATAAATTATCTTTGAGAAAATATAATCTCATCCCAATATAAAGTGTTCTTCAGTACCGTGTTGAAATCGGTGGAAAGGGCATTTTTGAAATTTTACTGCTATTTGTTCCATATTTCCAATGATAAATGCATTTTACTAGTCAGCTGCTTTGGTGTTCAAGCTTTCTCATGGCTGTTCACAATCACACAACAGGCACCACGACAACCACACAGTGTTTAAGACCTTGTCACAGGTCTTATAGAGCTAAAGTTCTCTGGTCTTATAGAGCTAAAGTTCTCTGGGAGGCTGCAGTTATCTGGGAGAAATCAAATGAATTTGTTTTAAATCACATTAATTTTTCTAGGCTCCTGAGATACTGTCCACAAACATTATTTCAGGTATACTTAGCTATCCATGTGATGTATTTACATTGGATTATTGCAGATTTCAACTGTATGAAGATACAGTTTGCACACACACACACAAAGCCATGGTACACTGAATCTCTTGCACACTGGTGATAGTTTTTAGAAATATATATTGTCCTTTAATCACTTAAGTTTATGAGGGATGATTTATTCAGACAAGATCGGGTGCATGCAGGGTGGTATGGCCATAAATGATTTATACAAATTACTAATTTGTTCATGCCTTAATAGAGTTATACCAAATTCCTATTCATTATAGGTCATATTTATTGAAAGCCAAAATAAATAATGCTTAATTTTACTTCTATTCTGCTTTTTCACTAATTTCAGCAGTAATTTCTCTTATACTATCTTCTCTTTTTATTTTTAACTGTAGAGTCACTACTCAATGACTAATTATTTTTAATAAAAATATCCAGGGTCCAGAAAAAGAATTAAACATTTTCTGGAATACACGTGAATGTTCTGGGAAATGGTATTAACATGGTTAAAGAGTACATTTTTATGCACTTTTAAGATATTAGTGAAAATTTATGCTGCTGTTAAAGATGAAGTTTCTTTAATCCAATGCATATTTAAAATTATGTCCATCTTGTTGGAATTATTTGTTTTGTAGTTACTCTAAATCTTTGAAAATAAGGATGAGTGTGATATCTGAAGAAATTTCAAACAAAAAAAAAAAAGTAAAGGCCAAACCTCCTCCAAATGGAAAAAGACTGGAAAGAAGTCTAGTTTTCTTAGTTAAGGTGCTATTTCAAATTCAGCTACTTTAATGATCAATGGCTTTTTAAAATATTTTTTAGCAACACCAAATACATGAACATCTGATACAGAAAACAGTTAACAATCAGAGTCACCCAGGTTCCAGGAAATGAAAGGGAAAGAAGAAAAGGGTTGGCCAGAGTGAAATGTGGAGCCCACGATCTCTCCCTGACACCTGCAGACCTCTAAGTCCTTCTTGAAACACAGACCAAAAAGTCAATAATTTCCACTAATTGCCTACTAGTTATATGCTAATCAATAAAAACAAATTATCACCACAGCAAAGAGGAAAAAAGAAAACTGTGTATCTAAATTCCTTTACTTCTAAAATATCAACCAAGCTAAGATTTCAGAAATTTAAAAAATTAAGAAATGCCCACCAATACATAAATGACATACTAAAAAGATATCCAACATTTATCATATAAATGAATGCCTTTGTTGATACAAAATAACTTTTAAAACTGAACTGTAAGCTCAAAATCAGCAGTAAATATTTATATTTCTGCAGGAAGCTGAAATCCGATTTCTCTATGATCCCAAGTAGACAGTAGTAGTTAACTGTAGAAGTTGCCTGTTAAGTGGCGACCAGCCCCCCTACACACACAAGGCTGGCCTGGCAGCCCCTGGGGCAGCTTTGGGAATGAAGTCACCTCTGTGATCAATGGATTTGGTAACAATTCTCCTGGCTACAAACTGCTCCCCGTGAGCATAAAGCTGATGTCTAAAATTAGGTTTATCCCTCTTGATCAGCATTCTTTGATATGTATTTCTTTGAACCGAGGACTTTCCTCACTTTATGGTCCAAAGAAAACAAAGCCAAAACAGAGGAATAAGACATGAAATCTCACTCACTAAACAATAGTTTGGTAAAAATAAAATTGTCAGACCCTTGACTAGGAGAGAAGTATAAATCCCTAGAAAGAGGGAAACATGCATTGTTTTCTATATGGATCAGTTTACACAAAAGCAGAAAGGAATCAAGAGGCAGCATAAAGTCCTGGCTGGGTGGCTCAGATGGTTGGAGCACCATCCGTTCACCAAAAGGTAGAAGGGTCATCCCTAGTCAGGGCGAGTATAGGAGGGAGACGGCTGATCCATGACAGAGTTTCCCTCTCACATCGGTGTTTTTCTCTCTCTCTCTCTCTCTCTCAAATCAAAAGCCCAGTTCTCAGGTGAAGACTTTTTAAAAGAGGCAGCATACACAAGCTCTTCTCTGGTCTGGCAGGTAGAGAAGGGAAGAGGGACAGGGTCAGGAAGCAGAGAAATGCTGAGTAGGGACACGGGACACACAGGGGCAGGGTGGGCTGGCCAGGGCCAGGCGCCAACCTTGCCCTTGTCACTGTCTGCCTCCAGCCGGGCTTGGAAAGAACCCTAAGACGGGCCCACTTACTTGAAGTGGTGTTATAATTAATTTTAACTCCCTGTAATTGTGAAAGTAAGTATATTATTTGCAAGATATAGATATGTCCCACGGTCCCAAAATTAAAGAGTGCCACAACTCCCTACAAGGTTAACACATTTTCTTCAGTCTTTCTTGAAAGGACCAAGGCTAACATACTGTATAATTAAAAAAAAAATTAAATGCAGCAACAGGTAAACTAAGTCTTTACATAAAAAGAAAGAAAAGAAAAACATGAAACTACAAGATTGACTAAATCTCAAATCACTCAAATAGTCAGATATCATATTTTGCATTTTAAAATACACTCAGAAATTCTCATTGGCATGCTTTTAAATCTCATTCATGTGACACCAGAACAAAAATGCCATTCAAGAGAAAACTGGCGGGGGTGAGGACTGAGGCTTTTAGCAAAACATAAAACACAGGACCACGACCATTATGTTCAGAGACTGCAGAAGGCAGTTACACCTCAGACCTCCGAATGTTTCTGGCAAACAGTATGGACATGGTGTAAGAGCCACAGAAGAATGGCTGCTGCTCTTTTCAGATAAAGCTCCCTGCTACGGGGTCAGGATGTTGCCATTACCAGGCTGTATTACTACAACATGCTTGAAAGCATCTGGCAAACTCAGCTGGGGTGGAAGCAGCTGGGCTCTGTTGCTAGGAGCAAAACAAACAGGCCCTCTGGTTACTGTCTGTTCATTTTCAGGTGTGACTGGAGGTGCCAGCTACAATCTCTTTGAGGCCTGAAGTGCTGAGATGCTGCTCTGGTTTCTCGTCTACTTCCTCCTCTGTCGCCATTCTATTCTCAGCCCCTTTCATCTGTTGTTGCCCATCCACCCAGCCTTCATACATGATTTAGTCAACTCCCTGGAGATTACCAGTGCCATAGTTTAAAATAACACTGTCCAATAGAAATGTAACACATGCTACATATGTAGTTGAAATTTTCTACTATCCACATTAAAAAGCTCAATGACAAGTGCAATTAATTATAATAATATATTTTATTTAAGTCAATATATACAAAATATTATCATTGCAACATGTATTCAATATAAAAATTTTTAACATGATGGTGAATATTCCTTATTTTATACTAAGTCTCTGAAGTCTGAAGTCTGGTGCATAACGCTTGTCGGTTTAGACAAGCCACATTTCAAGTGCTCAGAAGCCACATGTGGCTAGTGGCTACTGTGCTGGATAGCACAGATTTGGAGTTTTGGAGGGACTGTCCAAAATAAGCACCTTGACTTTGAAGGTAGACTGCAGCCAAGTTTGCAATGAAACTGTTCAACGGGCTACTGAAAAAGGGGTGCAGTTTGCTTACATTAGAACTTTCAAGAATGTGCAGTTAGACTGAATTCATGTCTCATGTAAGTAATATATCCATTTTGTTTATCACGGTGTGCTGGAGGGGAGGGGTTGGGATGTTTGAAAGTGCTCCCCCCCACCAGGATTATTGACAGAAAGAAGGAAAATGAGCAGAGTCTGTGAATCTAGATCTGTTGCTTTGTTCATGCCGAACTTGCAATATAATCCAGAGGTGAAATAGAAAGGATTCCTAAAACACAACAATGGCTTAGAGGTACCCTTTGCCAAAGAAAATTCCATTTCTAAGTAAAATTATGATTACTTGGTGTCACAAAAAGGGGGATGCTCCCAAGACACCTCCTTTCCTCATTCAGTTTTACTGCTGGACTGTCTGGAAAGACGGAAGAGATGCCTTTGCCAAGTGCTCACAGCCCTAAGATGCCATGATTTATTAGATAGAAAATAAACAAGGCACCATTTCCCTCAAATAATGGGCATGCTATAAACACAATTCAAGAAATTTGCTTTCGTTTTTGGAAGGTAGAGAAAGCAAGAAGATGGATGCTGGTGAAGCTGAATATTTACACCTCTTACCTGCTTAGAATATCCATTCCTCCCTTTCTCCTCTCTTAAGTATCTGCAATTAAGTAGCTTGCCAATTACTGTGGATTGAGTCCTTGCAAAGTCTTATGAGTAGATTTGTCATATCCATTAACTTTTCTCTCTTTTTAGTTTAGGCCTAATACCTCTTGTCCAAACTGTTCTATTAATTTCCCTTCACTTTGCTCTACCTCTGGATTCTTCAGACTCCACATTACCTTCCAGAACTTTCCCAGGTGACTCTTCAGAATGAGCTGTTACATGGTTCCTTCACTGAATCCCATCCACGGTTCTTTATTGTTTAATACACTGCAAGTTTCAAAGATTCCAAGATGTGGGCTCGAACTGCCTTGTCAGTCTTAAGCCTAACTGTGCCCAACCTGTAACTTTCCACACTCTTTTCAAACTAGGGATTATAAATATCTGCTTTAAGACTTCTAACTTCTGTGACTTTGCTTCCCATACAGTTAGTTCCCAGCCATCTCTCTGAAAATCTCTACTGAAATCTAACCCACCCTTTCTCTTCTCAAATGCCACCTCTTCTATGAAGTCCTTACAGGTTATTCCAAATAGAATATTTGTGATCTTTTCTCCTGGGAAACTACATAAGATTCTGGCTTCTCTTACAGACCCATGCCATACTCATCACACATTTGCCATACTTGCAGCGACTAGAATGTTAATTCTTTTGAAGGCAGAAATTCACATCTGAATTATTTCCACATTGCAGCTGTACAATAAGTATTTGTTGACTTACTTTTTAAACTATTTGTTTAACTGAATAAATTAGTATCTCTTATCTGAATGCAGTCATGCTTTCTGTCAGCCCTAACTTTGATCTTCAGAAATTCAGAAACTCTATTCTTATCATAAGAATGAAAAAAATTTTTTGAAAATCCCTGAAGGGAAGATCAAAGAGAAAAGAAGGTCTAAAATTCTTTCTTCTATCAATATGTAAGACTTTCTTCCTGGAATAACCATGCTGGGGGTCTATGAGAACATTTTTCACCCTCATCCAACCTGGTAAGTGACTAACTATTGTAAAATCGGGAGTCTAGAACCAAGAATTCAGGTCCTCTGGCTGAGGCGAGATGTTAACGCAGGTGGTTAGTGATATGTCCCCACTCTGTACAGCCGAAGAGCCCAGAGCAGAATAACATTGTCTTACCTCTGTGAAAGAAATAAATTTCTGATTGTACGAGTTTCTGGTTTCTGCATTTTTTTCTCCACCCCAAATCAAAGGGAATTATGTGTTTTTAGTTAGCACGTGCATTTCCCAGCAGTAAAAGCAAGTTCAGTAAAGCACCGTGATTATGCCACTGGAACTACCATTATGAACAGGACCCAAATATCTGGAGCAGCCAATTTCCACCACCTCTGGAAACCACAAAAGCAGCAAAACATTTGTCACCTTTATTATGTCTCCCACTCCGCGCCCATTGCTACACTAAATAAACACGCTAGCATATTCTCGCGTACTTATGTAAATATAAAATATATTCAGTTATATACTTACAAAATTTACATAAGTACAAAAGTTATAACCTTGCCACAATTTACAATCTAGCAAATGTGGGCTTGAAATCAACAACCTATGCAAAGTAGAGACATTTCTCCAAAATGATGTTTGAAACGAAACCCTCACTCCTTCAATCATTAGCTGAGCGGCCCCACAGCTAGGAGTCTTAAGTCATTTCTCTGCCGGGATAAAAGTTGAGAGACTCCTTACCGCTGAGATCTGGAGGTGTCTGCAATCCACACCGTACCTGCCAAAGCCTTACGTAAAAGCCACCTTCTCATTACCCAACACCTACAAATGACATCTCCGATTTCACAACAGCAGCAAACAGGAATTTTTCTAGAAACCACTAATACTCAACATTGGAGAAAAAGGTGCTCCTGAAGCTCTCTGAAGTAGCTAACGTTTTGGACGGGGGAGAATGGAAAAATAAAAACTTTTGCGGCCCCAGCTCGCTCTCTTCTTAAAGGAAAGGAACAAGGGGTCTAGGCGAACCCCGGCAAGTGCCCTGAGGGAAGCTGAGCTGTCAAGGCAGCGTGATGCCCCAGGTGTGGAGGGCAGCGGGTCTGCTCCTGGGAGTCAGGGGCCCAACCTCCCACGCCATCACATGGCCCCCGCTCCCACCCCAGCTCTGAGCTCCTCTAGAAGGGTCGGCGTGGGAGCCCGAGCTTCGGGAAGCGGAGCCCCTCCCGCCCACCCAGACTCACGATCTTGAGCAGGTCCAGTCCGCTAGCCTGGTTCATGTCTCTCCATGTGCCTCCCAGGGAAGGAAGGGGCGAGGAGGGCAGACCTGAGCAGCCTGAGCGCTGCCTCGGTAGACCAGGAGGTCGCTCCCGCCCCTTCCCACTGGATTTTCGTAGGCAGAGAAAAATGGAAGCCGGAGCAGAGCCGGGCAAGGAGAACAGGGGTAGGGTCACCAGCCCCAGGAGAGGAGAGTGGGTGGCAAAGCGCGAGGGAGAGGAGGAGGAGGTGGCCGAGGAGACCCACGCAGGAGGGAGCAGCGAGGCGAGGGATCCCAGCAGCGGAGGCGCGGGCGCGGGCTAGACGGAGGTCTGCGCTCAGCGGCTCACAAAGAAAGAAGGCGCGGCGCTGTCGCTACCTGTGCCGCTGCTCCTAGCGCCCCCGCGGGCGCCGCGTTCTCCAGCAGTTCCATCGGGAGCTCCTGCGCCACCGCAGCCGCCACTGTGGGAGGCGACTTGGACATGTCGCTTTGGACCATTGGCGAAAAGTCGGCTCCAGGCAGCCTCCGGCTCCTCGAGGCGGGTCCCCTCCTCCCTCCCCGCCCCGCTCGGAGCCTCCGGGGCTCGGTGCCTCGCTAGCAGGCAATCAGGGCTTGGGACGGGGCTGGGCCATTTGGAAAAGCAACACGCCTGGGAGCTGGAAGGTGCCCAGGGAGAGGGGCTCCTCCGCCATTCGGCCAGGCTGGGCAGTGAGAGAACAGAGCGGCGGCGCGGGGACTGTCCTCGCCAAGAGGGAGGGAGCTGGCTGGCGGAGCGCGAGCCCAGGGGGAGGCGCGTCGGAAAGCGAGAGTAACAGGGCAGCCGAGAGGCAGTAAAGTTCCCCGCGGGAGGCACGGGCCGCGTGGGTCCTGCTCGGCCGCTGCGCGTCGCCGTGGCACGCGCGCTGGAAAGTTTTCAAAGCCACGAAAGCGAGGCCTGGCACCCGGGAGCTGCCTTTCTCGGACTTGGGAGCTCGCCTCCCTAGGCTCCTAAACCACCTCGCAAGGACCCCTGGGGTCTGGGGGGCAGGAGCAGATCCCCTCAGGGATCCGGTGGCTGTGTTGCTAAAGTGAATGTCAAAAATCTGTGAAGTCCTCGGGCGACCCCGGAGAGCAAGTGTCCACCAAGGACAACAGTCAGCCAGCAGCAGTTGAAGGCACTTAATGATGGCAGTAAGAGGAGGAAGACGACAACTGGGACTGGTGACCTGAGGGTCACGGCCCCACCTGAAGCTGCACATGGCCTAGTCTAGGAGGTCCAAATCGACCACTTTCAAACTCAAGTCTGAAGTTTTTCCAGTATGACTCCCGTGTCTTTTCATCTTTGCAAGCTTGCAGTACTAATTCACAGAAATGGACTTTTTCTTTCAAGTTGAGAAATCTTACTATCACATTTTGGACAAAAGAAGCACCTCCTTGAGATCCTTAACTTGAGAGTAGTGGACATAGCAAGAATGTTTTTAGAACATTCCATTTCGATTTTTCTAATAACACACATTTTCTTTCTTCATTTTTTTTTTAATTAGAGGATGCCTCTTATTTCAACATTTACCATAGTAAAACCGTGTAGGACAAGTTTTCTAGGTGTCAGCTTTGTTTTGCAACAATAGTTTTGTATACTGAAATAGAAATTTACCACAATAGGTTTCAACTCTTACATGTTGCTGTGGCATAGTAAATTATTATAGTGTACAATGCTTGTTCTTCTCAAAATAAACACAGATATTTTAAACCTATCTCCTTAATAAGCTGGTTTGAGTCATGCTTAAAAAAATTAAAGGATGATTTAGGCATATCCAAAGTGTCATTGATTTTCCTAGTCTTTGGTGTTAAAATTATCATTTTTATCTGAGTTTTACTGAATGTTAAATAGAGGTACTCTCCTATTGGTTTATAATAATATGAACAATACTAGTAATAAAGGAATATTTTGAAAAGCAACAGACCGGGAATCTGGGAGGGTCCCCAAACCTGGCTAAGGTTTGTTTTTGTTTTTTTTTTAAATCATTAATAACAATCTTCAGTGCTTTTATGTGTGCATATGTATATATACACATCTGTATGTATGACAGTGGGAAAGAAGTTGTATTAAAGTTTTGGAGTTATAGTCTATTTTATCTCCATGATTTGCTGACAATATCCCTCTTCTAGGTCCATTCATTCGATGAAGCTGTTCAGTTTTCTTCAGAGCGTGTAAGTTGCAGGGAGAGCATTACCTCCAGTGCCAGATGAGGCTGTGGGGGTAGGAGCCATGCTCATGCAGCAGGACACAGTTGGAATCTGACCAGTTGCCCTGAGTTCTTTCAACATTCATTCAGGAAAGCACACGTCAAGCTGCTGTCATGTGCCACTGAGGAGCACAGACAACAAAGGCCAGGAAATTTGGAGCTTACCATCCAGATAGTAAGCACTTAGAAATCAATTAATACAAATTTGGTGAATGGATTAATTAATGAATGAAGGATAAATTCTAACGTGGTTTTACAAAACACCAGGTTTGATAAAACAGTGTTTTCCCACAACAGCTGTGTGATTTCTTATAGTCTACTTAATTAATTATCTGTGTGCTCCCTTTCAGTTATGACCATTTGGCAAATATAATTTTATCTTTCATCAGACTTTAAAAGAGACCACAAAACAGCAAAACAACCTCAAAAATCATTTTTAATAATGCTTATCATATAGCCAAAAGGGAAAATGAATTCTGCATTAAATGTTCAAATGTGATATACCTTATATTCATCTTGAATAACTTAGGATACTGAGCTCTGTGTTTGTTTCCACTAGTAGACAGAGTTCCTTGGGGATGGTGACTGTGTCTTGTCCATCGTATTATCCTGGGCATTGAGCATGGTATCTGACATTTAGCAGGAGGCTGAAAACACTTGTGGCATGAATAAATGAATGAGTGAATGACTGGTCTTTATGTGTTTTGAAATATAGCATACAGCTTTACAAGTTCTAACATACAAAGACTTTTACCTAATCCTCATTCTCATAAGAGCATTATATTAATTCTTTCTTTATAACCTGTGTTAATTTAATTAGCACCTATTGAACAATTAACACAATACAACATACCCATTCAAATTCTAACTTATAAAAAGTTTCAAATAAAAGTAACATTATGTTAACCCTATCTAAAAAAAGGAGCAATGTCAGAAGAAATATAGAAGGCCAAAGGCTTGAGAAACTTACCATGCCTTCTATCACGGTCAGTTTTGTTTTTAGCATACCTTGACTTGTGCAGTTTTTAAAAGCCACAGATGACAGCTAAAACTTGATAAGTACAGCCTAATTCTTTTCAACGTTAAAAGTTATGCAGATGTACTCCAGCAATGCATTAATGGATGTACAATCATCAGCATAGGCATTCAAATGCAGATGACTAATTTGTTCAAGCTGTCTGTGAACTTCAGTGTGCTCATTAGTCGAAATGGACAGACATATTCTGGGCATTACTAATGCTTTGAAATGAACATAGGGGCTGGTAAGAAACATTGGCCAAGGAAGCCAGAAGTTTAACAGTTGGGGTTTTTGTTCCCTGTAAGTGGAAGAAACAGTGATCACAATTACTTTACTCCTCCTCTCCTGCTTGTTGGATTTGTGACTATGTTTAAAACCTTGGAGTAAGAGCTCTTTAGGACAGATATGCACCATGTGTGATTTTCCATTTTACTTAGTAAATAATCTTTCACTGCATTTGCAGTTCTGAATCTCTGCCATTATTAATAGCATTTTCAAAAGGATATACCTGTCTTGTCCACTGGCCTAACTTGGTAGCATTCCACTAAGTTACACATTTGCCTTTTATAAACTTACACTATAAAATGAATAACCTAAATTACCAATTGGTATTTAAAAGCATATAAAGATGCAAACAAATCCAGTATAAGAGGGCTGTGTGTGCGTGTGTGTAGTGAAGGTTAGAAGCGAAATGTGAAAGTGGTCAGGGAAAGCTTAACTCCACTTCCAAAGAAAACGCTTCATAGAAGTAAGATTTCATGAGTTCTTATAACTACCCAAGAAACAAAGTTCTGAAATATATGACATTGTACAGCACTTTTTAGTTTTTAAAGGACATTTACTTCCCATTTATTTCTCACCCAAACCCTTTTATAACTGTAACTGGTACTTTTGTTACATACAAGGTGCCAGGCTTTCTGCTAAGGATTTATATACACCATATTCCCTCTGTTAGTAAGGATTAGCCCAAATGCTGCAACAAATAAGTGCTAAATATTTAGTGGATGAGAAAACAAGAAATGCATTCCTTTGATCTGGGGTCATTCACTATCAGAAGGGACTATGCTTCATGCTGACATTTAGAAACCAAGTCTCAAGTGACTGTCATCTCCAAAATGCAGCGCTCAATGCCACCATGGCTGTTCATCCCTGGGTTTGTCAGAAGAGACATGAAGGAAGACGTGGCAAATGTGGTGGTAGATGACAGAGCTTGCAGGTTTTTACTGGCCACGCATGGAGGTGGCATCCATCTCTTCCACTGACATTTTATTGGCTAAAACTCTGTCACATGAAAAATCTATAAGACCAGCTGAGAAACATAGTCCAGTAGTGTGCCTTAGGAAGAAATGGAGAGTGGATTTTGAAGAACAGCTACCAGAGACTGACTTCATCAAAACTGAATAGCTGACAAGTGGCAGGACATAACTACACATCTTTTTTCCTTTTTACTGAGTTTATTGGGGTGATACTGGTCAACAAAAGAATATAGGCTTCAGGTGCAAAATCCACAATACATCGCCTGTACACTGTATTGTGTGTTCACCACCTCAGCTCAAGTCTTTGCCCATCAGCATTTATTCCCCCACACCCTCCTCCACTATCCCCTAACTCCCTTCCCCCTGGCAATCACCACACTGTTCTCTACATCCATGACTTTTTTCTCCTTTTAATTGTTTTTTGATCAATCTATCCATGCCTCTCAACCCTGACAATTGTCAGCGTGCTTTCCATCTGTGAGTTCATCTCTATTTTACTCATTAGTTCATTTTTTTTCATTAGATTCCACATATGAGTGATATCATATCATATTTGTCTTTCTCTGACTGGCTTCTTTTACTTAGTAATGTTCTCCAGGTCCATCCATGCTGTTGCAAAGGATAAGATTTCCTTCTTTTTTATAACCAAATAGCATTCCATTGTGTAAATGTACCACTGCTTTTTCATCCATTCATCTACTGATGGACATTTGGGCTGCTTCCAAATGTGGCTATTGTAAGTAATACTGCAATGAACATAGGGATGCATATTTTCTTTTGAATTAGTGTTTCAGGTGTCTTTGGATATGCATATTCCCAGAAGTAGAATCACTGGATCATAAGGCAGATCTATGTTTCACTTTTTTTTAGGAAACTCCACACTGCTTTCCACAGCATTCCCACAAACAGTGCATGAGGGTTCCTCTTTCTCCACATCTTCACCGGTACTTGTTTGTTGATTTATTGTTGACAGATGTGAAGTGATACATCATCGTGGTTTTAATTTGCATCTCTCTGATGGCTAGTGATGTTGAGCATCTTTTCATATGTCTATTGGCCAACTGTATGTCCCCTTTGGAGAAGTTTCTATTCAGGTTTTTTGCTCATTTTTGTAATTGGATTGTTTATTTTTTTGTGTGTTGAGTTTTGTAAGTTCTTTATAAATTTTGGATATTAACCCCATATCAGATGTATCATTGGCAAATATGTTCTCCTATTCAGTGGATTGTCTTTTCATTTAGTTGATTGTTTCCTTT